AAGTATTCAAATTAATTTAAAATAAGTAAAAAGAAAGTAGACAGTGACAAAAATCAGTACTTATGATTTATAGATATATTTTTTTTAATTTTCAAAAATCAAAAAAAAATAGTAATTATGGAGGGCCCATGACCGGACCGGTCCTAAAAGTTGTTAAAAGAATAGTAGTTTGAAATAAAATATTTTCACAAAAATCGAAAGATACACTCACTTTCAAAAATACGATTTAAAATTTCAAACTCAAAAATCTTAATCAAAAACACTGAATATTTTTTTTGTATTTTAATCTGTAAAGGCCATCTAAAAACAAAGATTTTTATAAAAAAAAGCTTTAATTTGGACCATTATTAAGAAAGTTATGACCAAAAAACCAAAAAAGAGCGTTTTTTTTGAAAATTTTATAACTTTTGAACAAGTAATCAAAAAAATCTGAAAATTTACCAGAAAGGATTTTTTGAGGGGTACTAAAAAATATCAAAAAATTAAGGAAATCGAAAATTTGAATTTTTCGAACCGTCCGATTTGGCGTGGAACACACAGGTATACATTACGCTATGTGATTGCTGTGTATACTTATTGCTTTAATCTATAAAATATCGGATGAAGAAGAGTGTTGGTAGAAAAGAAAATTTGTGACCAAAAGAAAGTATAAGTGATTGAGAATTAGAACAGAAAATAGAAAAAGCAGGAAAAAAGGCTGTTGACGAGAAGATTATGGAGCCAGAACCTCCGCACACCGTTCGAGGGCATCAACTAATCGACATAGAGTACATGGCACAATAGACCAGGGCGGATCTGTTTTGAAGTGGATGTGAAAGGGGCAAGCAATTTTCTTCTTCAGTACAACTCACATAATAAAAGTGTAGATCCCTAGATCTGGGTGAGGTCCTGAACATTTTCAAAATTGTAAAAATTTGTACTTATATCTTGGAACTTATGCATTTTGGAAGAATATTGAAGAGGAAAAAAAGTTTTAGAATTGAATTTTACACAATATACTGTACGTTAAAAATGTTTCAATTTATTACCGATGTTACAAAATAGCAATAATTAGGCAAAATAATCAAGTTTTTTGGATAATTTTTTAAAAATATTTTAGTTGCTCCGAAGGCATTCTAATTTTGACAAAACAAACTTTAGAGTATAATAAAACAGCACACCAAATTTCATTAAAATCGGTTCTATAGTTTTCCTAAAATAATTTTTTGAAAAAAATTTTGAAAATTTTTTTTCGAATTTTCAAAAGGTTGCATAGCCTCAAATAAAGCGTCTAGATAATTGAAAATTTTTGATAGGTATTATACTGTGATACGATGTAATTACATCCAAAAATATTCTAAAAAATTATAGAAATATTAATTTTAAAATGAAAAATGATATGCCTGTACTCTCTGAGTATGTGTCTTGCTGTCAGGATTTTTACAACATTTTCGATCTATTTACACTTTTGCCTCACAATCTAGAATCATGAGTAAATATTTTTGAATATTTTGCCACGGTGTAGATCTAAAAAAAGGTGACCCTCAAACTTTTCTTGTATCTACAGACGGTGTAACAGCAAAACAAATCGGCAAAAACATTTTACTGCTTAAAAAGCGGGCAAATTTCATGCTGATGCGAACCTTGGGACAACGCGGCTAAAAAAGGGTCTCCCGGCGTTCGTCCACGGAGCCGGGTGATTATATCAACTCCGATATGCCTTGATTGGTTTTTTACGAACGATAAAATTCCCCAAGTTTTAATTAAATATCCGGAATCGTTAAACAAACGGACCGCGAGCTATTACGGACTATTCGGCCCATCTATTAATTCCACATTAAATACGTTTTCATGGAAAGCTTTGTCGTTAAATAATATTATCGTTAAAATAAGCTCGAAAAAGCGAAATTACCGTTTCGTCAGAGCCTAAAACATCAACTCCCGAAAAAACACCCTACCCCGTTTTATTAAATCATATGACCAAAAAAAGTACCTAATGAAATCCATATACAAATAAAAGTGAACTCGTGTGTCTGGATTCGCCCACTTTTCCTTGCAACCCACTCCCCCGCAGACCCGTGATTGTGTGGGTTGGAAGAAAAGCTAATAAGTAATAAAAAAGGAACTAATTCTTAAATATTATTTATAAAAGTGTCCCGACTATAAAGAAGAAAACTCATGTCTAACAAGTTAATTGTTCAGTAATCAAGAATATACTGTTCCCGAATGTTAAGGAGCTCTAGAATCTTAAATTTTCTATAACACTTTCAAGTTTAGAATGATCTCAAATATCCAACAATGTGTTCTACAAGAATATATAATTTTAGTAAAGAATATGAAAACACAAAAAAAAAGCATTAAACTTAAAGTGAATATTTCTATGAAAATGTTACAAAATCATCGATGGAATTCATGAGTGCGACGTTGCTAAATTTACTTTTTCCCCAGCCATAGGGAAATTATGCACAAGCTGACAACGCCGCCTCGAGGGGTTATCAGAGATAACCTACCTCAAGACCGAAGTCTCACCACTCCAGGCCTTCAAATAAGGGAGATCGGGCCTTTTGTGGCACATTTCCAGGACTTAGTAGAGATAGAAGATGTTAAATAGAGGAAGAACGTTATGGAGGGGAACGATGTTGCAGAAAAATAGCAATATGTCAGAAAGAGATACATATATCACGCTATCTACTTCCGATACGACACGAAAATTGCACAGAAATACAAAAACACTGATCAAAGGTCTACTCAAGTTAGTAATAAATATTTTACTTGACCGAAAAAAGTGACGATATAAAAAAAATAAATCTCGACGCCCTACATGTAGAACCGTTCCTCGTATATTTGACAAGAACAAGGAAATCCAACCCCTGCTGTGTATATAGTAAGATATACATTTCTCAGTCTCATAAACAAAGATTTACAGCCAAGTATGCAAATATAAGCCGCACGTAACTGCAAGTTTTGAACGGCTAACGGCGCAAAATTTAACCTCAACTATTCCGCCTTACCTCCAACTTGCGGATCGCTCGCGTTGCTCCTCCCTGGGCACTTGCACGCGCTCTCCAGCCGGCCGTCGAAGGGGCAGGCCATCCTGCACGTGGAGCATTCTGGAACAAAATTATACATCGAGAAATGTTTGAATTATATTCCACACGAAGTTATCAAATACCATCGGCAGGTACGGTTAAAAAGCTGCATGCGATTACTAAATCCGAACGCAATATACAGGGCGTTAAAAAAGTAGTACCCAGATAAAACTCCTCAAAGCAGGATATTTTGTAATAATATATACATGATAAAAACATACAACTAACGATAATAAACCAACAAAATTTAACTTTTTTTTGGAAGCAGAAATTTGAATATATATTTCCGAAGGATTTAGGTGCACTAAATCCGAATCTGGCAGCAGAATTGCTCTATCACGTCAGGTTTTTGAGATATCCTAACACTGTTTTTCGTCATATTTGAGGTTATGTAGTAATGCCATCTATTCTTTTTTAAAAAACGAATACATTAAATCTAAAAGTACAAGGCTCCCTCCTTCGAATGCCGTTGAGTTTGCTCAATTTTTTTTTTTTTTCGTTGAGATATCACATGTTGAAATTTTTAAGTTTCGCACTTTCTTAATATGCGAAAATCTACTAAGGATCCCTTAGACATCAAGCAGTCGATTGCAATTCAGAAACTTCATACCCATGGTTTGTGGGTTTGTAAGCTTAGAGTTTGTAGGTTCGGGCTTTGTGGGATTGGGGTTTGTGGGTTTAGGGATTGTGGATTTGGAGTTTGTGAGTTTAAGTTCGTATGTATTGAAGGTTTCTGAGTATGAACTGTTTGACATCTAAGGGATCCTTAGTAGATTTTCGCATATTAAGAAACTGATAAACTTAGAAAATTCAACATGTGATATCTCAACGAAAAAAAAATATATTTGAGCAAACTCAACGGCATTCGAAAGAGGGAACCTTGTACTTTTAAATTATATGAATTTTTTTTTTGAAAAAGAATAGATGGTATGTATTAGTACATAACCTCAAATATGACGAAAAACAGTGTTTTTGCACTTTTAGGTTAGGATATTGTTTTATTTTGTTCACAAAATTGTCAATAGTCTTCATAAGAAATGTTTTGTTTAGAAATTAAGCATGATAACCAAATAAATGAAACGTATTTTGACAATATTACAGTTTTGATGTTTTCGAATGATTCTTAAAGCTTATTAGAACAGCTTTTATATTAGTCCAGACGGTATCTGTTTCAAAGAGTTCATATTTGGGTGAATCGTATATCCACAGAGATTTTTGGCTTTTTGGCTTTCAAATATCACTAGAAATGAAAATTTTTCTATGCGCATAAAAAAACGTGGGCTTAACTTTTGGCGGCACAATATGTTAAAAAAATTCGAAAAATGTCATATTTTTCTTCCTATTTAATTATGTATCTTTTCAAGAGTTGATTTTAGGCAAAAATGGAAGAGGAAAACAATTTTTGTAATTAAATTTACAAAATATGACAAGTTACAAATCGAATGAATCATGATTATTATTGTAAATATCGAAAAAATCGTCAAAAATGGGGTTAAAGAACATTACTTTTTAGGGAATTTTTTTGGGGTCTTTAAGTTGGGTATAGGACCTTCATACTTGGCCGAAGAAAAGTTCATGCTATGTAGAATCATCACACCAAATTTCATCAAAATTGTTTCGATATATTTTGCATAATTTTGCAATTCAGATTTTGAAAAAAAATTTGCAAATTTTCAAAATTTTGCACAGCAAAAACCAAGGCCCTTAGATACTTGAAAATTTAATCACATATACAAGGGCTCTCAAGCTTGCAAACGCTTTTTGAAAAATTCGAATTCGTCAATTAGGAGCTCTGGCGCTTGTTTAAACATTGGTCGAATTTTTTTAATATATTGAGCCGCCAAAAGGCCCACGTTTTTTTTATGCGCATAGAAAAATTTTCATTCCTAGTGATATTTGAAAGCCAAAAAGCCAAAAATCTTCTTGGATATACGTTTCACCCAAACCAAAACAGATACCGCCTTGTCTATATTGTAATAATTGCAAACTGTTTAATTTATTTTTAATATTAATTTAATATATTTTTTATATATATAAAAATATCATCGAAATTAAATTGAAATTATTATAAGATAACTATACTTTGATATTTGTTATATTCAAATACTCTTATCTCAGGGGTCAGTTCTAGCAATAATACATCACAATTATAGAAACAACAAAATTAAAACTCAAATCATAAATTATGTCTGTATTATAAATTATGAATTCAAGGATGGTTCAAACAAATTCAATATCTCTTGTATTCCTACAAGCAATTGTAAACAATAATTCTCAGGTAACAAT